TTGAGGCCAGGGGTTCGAGACCAGGCTGGTCAACATGGCAAAACCCTGTCTCAACTAAAAATACAATATTTAGCCAGGTGTGGTGGCTCATTCCTGTAGTCCCAGATACTTGGGAGGCTGCGCCTGGAGAATCGTTTGAACCTGGGAAGCAGAGGTTGTAGTGAGCTGAGATTGCACCACTGCACTCCAGCTTGGGTGACAAAACAAGACCCCATCTCATTCGTAAATAAATAAATAGGATTTGAATCTAGAAAGGACTAAATAACTGTCAATAAACTATAAATGAAACAATTATAAGGTACCCGTGTGTTCAATAAGAATCAATATTTACAGAAATTTTGATGCATGCACATATATTCTTTGCAGCACTGCTTTTAAAAACAAAATGAAAATTGTTATCAATCAAAAGAGGATGAACTAAACTAACTATAACCACTTAGAAGAATACCATACAGCCATTAAAAATATAAGGCAGAGACTTACATATATACCCATGTAGAAGGAAAAAAGGTATAGAAAAGGTCAACAGCTTTTTTGTTGTTTTGAGACAGGGTCTCGTTCTGTCACCCAAGCTGGAATACAGTGGCACAATTATAGCTCACTACAGCCTCAAGCTCCCGGGCTCAAGCGATCTGCCCACCTCAGCCTCCACAAGCAGCTGCAACTACAGACACATGCCACCATGCCCGGGTAATTTTTGTACTTTTGGTAGAGATGGGGTTTCACCATGTTGCTGAGGTTAATAGTCCTGAACTGCTGGACTCAAGCAACCCTCCCACCTCAGCTTCCCAAAGTGCTAGAATTACAGGCATGCTGCGCCCAGACAGTTTGTTTTGCTATTTTTTTTTTTTTTGCTTACAAATACACACAAACATCTAATGACATATGCAAGTTTTTTTATTTTCATTGAAGGATACAAAAAAGAATTAAAATACGGAAGAGTGATCCCTACAAAAAAGCAGAAGGTAGGGAATGAGGGACACTTCTTCTGTACTGTTTGAGATTTCTCCTTCCATGATATGTCATAATACATGTCTCTGCAGAACCACACAACTAAGATTAATTAAACCTCAACCTGAATGCATACTTAGAAACACTGGATGAAATATAAAATTGTAGGCTGGGTGTGGTGGCTCATGCTTGTAATCACAGCACTTTGGGAGGCCGAGGAGGGTGATCACCTGAGGTATGGAGTTCAAGACTAGCCTGACCAATACGGTGAAACTCCATCTTTACTAAAAAGGCAAAATTAGCCAGGCACGGTGACACGCACCTGTAATCCCAGCTCCTTGGGAGGCTGAAGCAGGAGAATCACTTCAACCCAGAAGGCGGAGGATGCAATGAATTAAGATTGTGCCACTGCATTCCAGCACTCCAGCTTGGGCAACAGAGCAAGAATCTGTCTCAAAAAAGAAGAAAAAAAAAATGGAAGAAATATAAAACTGTAGAACAAATGGGAGGAAGTCGTAACTTTTTAAATTTTTTTTTTTTTTAGACCGAGTTTCACTCGTTGCCCAGGCTAAAGTGCAATGTCGAGATCTTGGCTCACTGCAACCTCTGCCCTCCCAGGTTCAAGCGATTCTCCTGCCTCAGCTTCCCAAGTTGCTGGGATTACAGGTATGTGCCATCATGCTCAGCTAATTTTTTATTTTTTATAGAGACAGCGTTTCTCCAAGTTGGTCAGGGTGGTCTCGAACTCCCAACCTCAGGTGATCCACCTGCCTCAGCCTCCCAAAGTACTGGGATTACAGGCGTGAGCCACTGAGCCCAGCAACTTTGTAAATTTTTAAACGAAGTAAAAGTGAAATTTACCAACTGCAGACTTTTGATGAAATAAGTACTTTAGCACAAGTGAACCAGAAGCAGGGAGTAGGATGCAAGAGGCAATGTGATTTTCTAACATTATAAACCAAGATATTAAAAGAGATTTTAAATGAACACGCACAAAACTTAAAACTTGGGCCGGGCACAATGGCTCAAGCCTGTAATCCCAACACTTTGGGAGGCCGACGCAGGTGGATCACGAGGTCAAGAGATCAAGACCATCCTGGTCAACATGGTGAAACCCCGTCTGTACTAAAAATACAAAAAATTAGCTGGGCATGGTGGCGCATGCCTGTAAACCCAGCTACTCAGGAGGCTGAAGCAGGAGAATTGCCTGAACCCAGGAGGCGGAGGTTGCGGTGAGCCAAGATCGCACCATTGCACTCCAGCCTGGGTAACAAGAGTGAAACTCCGTCTCAAAAAAATAAAAAAACTTAAAACTCATGGGAAAAATAGCTATGCAAAATTACTCTACTTCAAATGTCAAAATACCTTCAGGCAAAGTTTTCTAAGAGCTCAAGAAAAAACTGAAGTCTAAGGAAATGTTCTTTGCCATCAATATATCCTCAGTACCTCAGATGTGTCTCTTATAACTAACATTAAAGATGTGCTAAATTAATGAATGTTATACCACCGTTTGTCTGTAGCATCAAGACAAATCTTTAAAACGGATGCTTCCACCTCTAATCAACATTATTTCCTAACTAAGCACAACAGTAGATAGGTGGGAAACGAAATGGCAAAGAAGTGCCCAGCAGGTTAAGAGAAAATAATTCATATTGAACAGAAGGGCTAGAGCAACCACAAGGCCCAGGAATCAAAATTTTTTAAATTTCCAAGATGATTCTAATGTGTAACAAAATTTCAAAACCACCGGGACAAACTTTAAGATCTTTCAGCCGGGCATGGTGGCTCACATCTGTAATCTCAGCACTTTGGGAGGCCAAGGTGGGCAGATCACTTGAGGCTATGAGTTCAAAACCAGTTTCGCCAACATGCTGAAATTATATTACAAGCACAGTGGCTCATGCTTGTAATCCCAGCACTTTGGGAGGCCAAGGCAGGCAGATCACCTGAGGTCAGGAGTTTGAGATCAGCCTGGCCAACACAGTGAAACCACATCTCTACTAAAAATACAAAAAATTACCCAAGTGTGGTAGCACACTCTTGTAATCCCAGCCACTTCGGATGCTGAGGCAGGAGGATCGCTTGAACCCAAGGTGGAGGTTACAGTGAGCCAAGATCACACCAATGCACTCCAGCCTGGGCAACAAGAGCAAACTTCCATCTAAAAAAAAAAAAAATTAGCCAGGCATGGTGGCACACCGGTAGTCCCAGCTACTAGGGAGGCTCAGGCCCAAGAACTGCTTGAACACAGGAGGCAGAGGTTGCCCTGAGCCGAGACTGTACCATGGCACTCCAGGCTAGGTGACAGAGATTCTATCTCAAAAAGAAAGAATACAAAAAAAAAAAAAACCTCTCTTCCAGCTCTAACAGCCAATGAATGATTATCTTTAACTGAAACACTTTCAAGTTTTCTGCAAAACAGAAGACAGTTTATTTTTAAACCTACTATAATACAGAAATGAATTCAATTTTGTCAGAATAGTAAACTTACAGAACTGCCAGGTTTAGGGTACAAAGTAAACCAAAACACCTGACTAGTTTATACTGTTTGTTGAGCTTGATTTTGTTTTAACATATGTGGCATCGGCACAGTTATTCAATGACTTGATCATAACTGCTCAATAAACATTTACTGAATAGTGATGTACAAAATACTAGAACACACACACCAAAAAAAAAAAAAACCCTACATTTCATTTTAAGGAAATGAGAATTTACCCAAAAGGATTTAGAAATGAATGATCAAATTTTCACCTGCTAAAAAAAATACTGAATCTAGTATACAGAACAGTTTAAAGAAAGCCAAGATTGGATGACAGAAAAGTTCATCAGGAACACTACTGCAGAAACTCAGGCAGGCAACTGTGGTACCTTGATCTCTGGGGACAGCCAAGAGAAGGCAGATAAACATTTACTCAAATGCTAAGTTAAAACAAAACAAAAACTTAAAAGCAAAATAGAAAGCAATCAGATGCTTATTTTAAGAAATTTAAAACTCATTATGGGTAGTGGAAAAGATGAATGATAGGAAGAACCAGGAAAAATTATACAGAAAATTTAAGAAGAGACAAAAAGGGAGAGGAGATACAGATAATTAACATGGATGGGCATAAAAAGAAAGGTAATAGAGAAACAGGAGTAGTGAGCTTTTGACATGTATTTAAGCAGCTTGTCATATTGTTAGTTATTTGTCCAGTGGACTATAATAAATTATCACCTGTTATTGACTGCTCTTAAATATTCTTGCCAATTGGCCAGGCACGGTGGCTTACCCCTGGAATCCCAGCACTTTGGGAGGCTGAGGCAAGCGGATCGCCTGAGGTCAGGAGTTTGACACCACCTGGCCAACATGGTGAAAACCCATTTCTACTAAATATACAAAAATTATCTGGGCCTGTAATCCCAGCTACTCGGGAGGCTGAGGCAGGAGAATTGTGTGAACTCGGGAGGCGGAGGTTGCAGTGAGCCATGATCGAACCATTGCACTCCAGCCTGGGGGACAGAGCAAGACTCCGTCTTAAAAAAATGTATGTATGTATGTATGTATGTATGTGTGTATATTCTTGCCAATTACTCAGAATATACTTTTCCTATATCCCCACATCCATCTGTAAACATGAATCTTTTTTGTCTCTACCAGATTATCCATCTGTACTCTTTCAAATGTGCAAGAATAATCTTAAATAGCCAGCATTTGTCCAAATTCTTCTTTTCATCAAACAAAAAGTCCTACATGTGCCATGTCTACCTACCAAAACTCACCCACCTTGTTTCTCTGTTTGCCAACAGAATCATGTATCTTTGCTACTGGTGCTACTGGCACAGTTCAATATCCTCAAATTACCTCCAACAATACTACTTGCATAAGTAAAACTAACTTTTAATAAGTTTTTTTTTCTTAAGTTCTCTGAGATCTTCATACCTAGTATGTTGAGTTCCAACTTTTTCTCTAAACTCCTAAATGGCACTTTACACAGTAGTACATAAATGGTATACACACTTAAAGGAAATAAAAATCATACCACATCTACATGAAAACCCATGTTTACCTTGCCTCATTAGCATTAATTGGTGTTCATGCCTCGCTGCTTCCATTTCTGCTTCCAGTTTCTCTTTGGCTTCTCTGATGTTTCTGTCAACCTGCTCACGCTGCTGCTTTTCCATTTCATCAAGGGCCTTCCATCGAGAGGCATACTCAAATTCAAATGTCCCAGGTTGAGCAAACCGTGGTGGTTGTTCTCTTTCCCTAAATTTACATTAAAACATACAGAAATTTATGTTTAAAAGGTAAAACAAGAACAAATGCGAACAGGAACAAGCATTTACAATGTTCAAGGCACTGTTTGAGACACCATGTCTAGATGAATTACCTCATGACAATATTGTGATTACAGGTCTGAGCTTAAGAAACTGCCCAAGGATGTTCAACTAATAATGGAACAATGATTCAAAACTTAGACAATCTGATGCTACAACCCAGACTCTCCTAATTATTACCTATAAAATTTCTGCTTTTGGAGGTTTCATTTTCTGGTTTTCAGTCAATTTAACATTTTACAAAGGAAAGTCTTCAACACATGGATTAACTGTCTGGATCAGATATTTTTACTATTAAAACCAGCTAGATATTATTGAGTGTTATGTGCCAAATTAATTGGATAGGCAACCAAATCCAGGCCTAACTCACTACAATTACAGTTAACTATTTAATAGCTCTTTCCCTCGGTAGCCTATAAACTCAATTGATGACATCAAATGTATGTTAACTTCCGTACCTCAAGGACCTAGAATGCAGTACATACATTAAATATATAATTCTTGAATAAATAAATGAGCAAATTACCAAATTAAAATAAAGGCCTATGAATGTATCTGAAAGACTTCATTTATATATATATATATGAGATATATAGATGTAAATATATGTTTTAGAGACATATAAAAAATATGACTGATCTCAAACTCCTGGCCTCAAGTATTCCTCATTCCTCAGCCTCCAAAAGTGCCAAAATTACAGGTGCAAGACACCACACCTGGTCCCAATCAATTTTTTTTCCCTTTAAAGAATTCTGGTTGTTGTTGCTGTTGTTTTGGAATTTTTTGAGACAGGGTCTTGCTCACTTGCCCACACTGGAGTACAGTGGCACAATTAAGACTCACTGCCCAATCAACCTCCCAGGCTCAAGCAATCCTCCCACCTGAAGCTGCAGAGTAGCTAGGATTAAAGGGGCATGCCACCATGACCAGTTAATTTTTCCATTTTTTGTAGAGATGAGGTACCACTATGTTATCCAGGCTGGTCTTAAACTCCTAGACTCAAGCAACCATTCTGCCTCCCAAAGTGTTGGAATTACAGGTAAGAGCCATCACACCCAGCCAACTTCCAAGAAATTTTTGCAGAAAAATCTTCAATTAGTCTTGCCTATAACAGCCACTATTAAAAAGTTCTGGCCAGGCGCGGTAGCTCAAGCCTGTAATCCCAGCACTTTGGGAGGCCGAGGCGGGTGGACCACGAGGTCAAGAGATCGAGACCATCCTGGTCAACACGGTGAAACCCCGTCTCTACTAAAAATACAAAAAATTAGCTGGACACGGTGGCGTGTGCCTGTAATCCCAGCTACTCAGGAGGCTGAGGCAGAAGAATTGCCTGAACCCAGGAGGCAGAGGTTGCAGTAAGCCGAGATTGTGCCAGTGCACTCCAGCTTGGGCAACAAGAGCAAAACCCTGTGTCATAACAAACAAAAAAGAGAAAAAAAGTACTGATAGGAACACAATCCCACTCTATGAATAAAAGCATAGGTAACTTGCTACAAATATAAATTTTAACTTTTATTTTGGGGTATGGAGGTGAGGAGGAATGGGTATGACAAATCTGGGAGAAAGGGGAAGACTGTCACAGAGAGAAAGATGTGGTAACACAAGAGGGAAAGATCTTCAGAAGCACATGAAGAAATACCAAAGACCAGCCATGATCCTAAGGACCCTCTATCTAAAAAACCTACTTGGATTTTTTTTCTTTTTAAAGCACGACTGGAAAATGGGAAAGAGTGGGACAATCTACCAACCACTCATTTTTCTAAAACAATTATTAGTCAGCAGTTCCTAAGTCAAAAATTGACTACATTTTAAAATTATTTCTTTTCTCCCACAGGAAAAAAAAAAAAAAACAACACTGACATAACATGCTTTTTCATAGCTGCAAGTAAATTTGAATCTTGGCTCTTATGCTTTGTAAGCATTTTCTTCTGGGAATAAATCTTTTTTTTTTTTTTTTTGAGAAGGAGTTTTGCTCTTATTGTCCTTGCTGGAGAACAATGGCACGATCTTGGCTCACTGCAACCTCCACTTCTCAGGTTCAAGCGATTCTCCTGTCTCAGTCTCCCAAGTAGCTGGGATTACAGGCATGTGCCACCACACCTGGCTAATTTTGTATTTTTAGTAGAGACAGGGTTTCACCATCTTGGCCAGGCTGGTCTCAAACTCCCGACCTCAGGTGATCCACTCGTCTCAGCCTCCCAAAGTGCTAGGATTACAGGTGTGAGCCACCACGCCTGGCTTATAAATCTTTAGTAGTAAAATGAAATTATAACTAGCTTTTTTTTTTTTTTTTGAGACAGAGTCTTGCTCTGCCACCCAGGCTGGAGTGCAGTGGCACAATCTCAGCTCACTACATTCTCCACCTCCAGGGCTCAGCCGCCCGAGTAGCTGGGATTACAGGCATGAGCCACCACCCCTGGCTAATTTTTGTATTTTTAGTAGATACAGACGGAGTTTCACCATGTTGGTCAGACTGGTCTTGAACTCCTGACCTCATGATCCACCTGCCTCGGCCTCCCAAAGTGCTGGGATTACAGGCATGAGCCACTGTGTCTGGCCACAACTAGGTCTTATTAAGGTTTGCTGAGACCATTAAATATATAAACAAATATTGTCTATAAAGTCTATTCTTTTAACAACGTTGTACTTCTAGTTCTCTTTCTCCCAAATCCAAAAGTATGCTCTATTTCACATTTGTAATGGTGACCCATAACAAGTAAAAAGTTAAGTGAAGAGGAAGTCACAGGAACCCTTCAAAAACTGGCATTGTGGCCAGGTCCAGTGCCTCACACCTGTAAACTCAACTTTGGGAGGCGGGGCAGATCGCTTGAGCCCAGGAGTTTGAGACCATCCTGAGCAACATAAAAAAAACCTGTCTTTAAAAAATTTTAAAAATTAATGGGACATGGTGGTTCACAACTATAGTCCCAGCTACTTGGCAGGGGAAGGGGGCTGAGGTGGAAGGATCACTTGAGACCAGGAGGTAGAGACTGCAGTGAGCCATGATCATGCCACTACAATGTAGTCTGGGCAACAGAGCCAGACCCTGTCTCAAAAAAAAAAAGAAAGAAAGAAGAAAGGAGGAGGGGGAGGAGGAAGGGGTGGGGGAGAGGGAGGGCAAAGGGGAGGGGGAAGGGAGGGAGGGGAAGGGGGGGAGGGGAAGGGGGAGGGGAGGGAATTGTAGGGGAAATCAGAATAGATAGGAATTATAATCAATTACTACTAATGCTTCCTCCCTGAAATTCTCTCTTCCCTTGCTTCCAGGACACAGTCAGATGGTTCAATCTCCTACTCCAATGAATGAATGCTCTCTTTTCAGTAGTTTTTGATTCCTTCTGATGTTCCCAACCTCTACACACCAGAGTACTCCAGGGTTCAGGGTTTGATCCCTTGACTTTAAAATATCATGTTAATAAATCCAGCCAGGACAGTTGCTCTAATTCCTAGGTATAAATCCAACTATCTGCTTGACGACACTGCCAGCACCTAGAACAGTGGCTAACAAAAAGGCACTCTAGGTTTTATTTATGTAATAAACAAGTGGGTGGGGTGCAGTGGCCCACACCTGTAAACCCAGCCCTTTCGGAGGCCAAGGCAGGTAGATCACCTGAGGTCAGGAGTTCGAGACCAGCCTGGCCAGCAGGGTGAAACCCCGTCTCTACCAAAAATACAAAAATTGGCTGGGCACGATGGTGCACACCTGTAATCCCAGCTCCTTGGGAGGGTGAGGCACAAGAATCCCTTGAACCCAGGAGGTGGAGGTTGCAGTGAGCAGAGATTGCACCACTGCATTCCAGCCTGGGTGACAGAGTGAGACTGTCTCAAAAATATAAATAAATAAGTGACTTTTTTTTTTTTGAGACGAAGTCTCATTCTGTCACCCAGGCTGAAATGCAATGGCGTGATCTCAGCTCACAGCAACCTCCACCTCCCAGGTTCAAGCAATTCTCCTGCCTCAGCCTCCCAAGGAGCTGGGATTACAGGCATGTGCCACCACGCCCAGCTAATTTTTATATTTTTAGTAGAGATGGGGTTTCACCATGTTGGCCAGCCTGGTCTCAAACTCTCGACCTCAAATGATCTACCTGCCTCGGCTTCTCAAAGTGCTGGGATTACAGGCTTGAGCCACCGTGCCCAGCCAAGTACATTATGTTTTTAAAAACATAATGCACTCTGCAAAAGTAATTGGAGGGGAAAGGGAGGTGGCCCAGGCAGAGAACAGAACTAGAGGCAGTCCATCTAGGGAATGAGACTGTGAGGCCATACTTGTGAAACATTTGGATTGCTATTCTAGAACTTTTATGTGGTGTGTTTGTTGCACAGCTGTTCGAAATGTTTAATAAAGCTTTACAAACTGAAAAAATAATAATGCACTCATATAGATAACTTATGTAAATATACTTGTATTATTATAAGTGAAAAGGGCAAAAGAATAAACACTCAAAATTTTGAAAATGAGTTATTTTTTGCAATTTCTAAGAGTTCTTCCCCTGTATCTGGCTATTTAACTGGGCATACCCTGCTCCAACCCAGCACACCAAAAGTCTCCTTTTAACCTACAACAGACCTGAAGCATAAAATAAAACTTAATAAGTATTTTCAGCTGAGCGCAGTGGCTCACACCTGTAATCCTAACACTTTGGGAGGCCAAAGCAGGCGGATCACCTGAGGTCAGGAATTCAAGACCAGCCTGGCCAACATGGTGAAACCCTGCCTCTACTAAAAAAAAAAAAAAAATTAGCCAGGCATGGTGGCATATGCCTGTAATCCCAGCTACTTGGGAGGCTGAGGAAGAAGAAACCCTTGAACCCAGGAGATGGAGGTTACGGTGAGATCACACCACTGCACTCCAGCCTGTGCTATGAGAGCAAGACTCCATCTCAAAAAAAAAACAAAAAAAAGGTATTTTCATGTTACCTAGAATTCATTGTTTTTCTGTCATAAGTATTATTGACAGTGTCTTCCTACTACCCAACCTGCCCCAGCTGTAAAAGGAGTCTTTTCTTAAAAAATTACCATGTTTTACCCATATAAAAAAAGAAAACTATTAGCTAGGCATGGTGGTGTGTGCCTGTAATCCCAGCTACTCAGGAGGCTGAGGCACGAGAATCACTCAAACGCGGAAGGTAGAGACTGCAGGGAGCCAAGATCACACCACTGCATTCCAGGATGACAGAACAAGGCACTGTCTCCAAAAAAAAAAAAAAAAAAAAAAAAAAAAAAAAAGAAGGAAAGAAAACTACTAGCATTCCATGTAGACCAGGCCACTCTACTAACCAGATTATACAAATAAACAGAACACCTCATAACTCAACAATACTTAAAAACAAATGTAGTAAACACCCTTGATAGCACATATATAAAATATCTAATAATAAAATCTTACTTATGGTATTGTTGAGTTTTCTGCATCAGCTTCTCTGGCAAGCCATCTTCATCATCAAACTGCTCCATGGGCTCCACAATGACTGGACGAGGAGTCCTGGATAGGTATAAAAGCATTCATAAAAATTAACACAGTGTCAAGAATACCCTCTTAAAAGAAATGTTTTATAATAATAAAGATACTTAGAAAATGTCTCACTTGAGATTGTACTCATAAAAATCAGTCAATAGCCAGGCACAGTGGCTCATGCCTGTAATCCCAGCACTTTGGGAGGCCGAGGCAGGTGGATCACCTGAGGTCAGGAGTTCAAGACCAACCTGGCCAACATGGTGAAACCCCATCTCTAAAAATAAAAATAAAAAACAAAAAAAATCTATTTCTACTACCTTTAAATCAGTGATGCTTCAGAAAGAAAGAACTTAACTAAGCTAGAGAGATGAAGAGGTTTTTTGGACTCCAAAAGCTTCTCTAATACCATAGATTAACACAAACTTTAGATCAAAACGTTAGAAAAGATACAAAATAACTTTTCACAGTTATTACTGAGCTAGTGAAGACCTTTTAGGGAAACAGTTAAAGCAGGTATGGAGTACCATACAGTGGTAAAATGAGAGTATAGAAACCTCAGATAAACTGAATAGGAACCTAAAGGAAAAGAGACTTAAGATGTGATACTTCTAAAAGTACCCAAATAGGCCCAGGGTCAAAATGAAGATGATTCATTTTATGGACCATTCATCCACTGGAAGCTATGGCAGGGCCACAAACATAGTAACAGAATCAGATAAGAGGTACACCTGAGCAAAGGCCAACAAAGAAACAAGCAAACTCTTCCAGTAACACAAGACCATCCCCCTTCAAGGAAAATCTAGAAACAGACTTAAGAGGGAAAAATGAACTAAGCAGATGATACGTCATTGAGAAATGACAAAAGCATATGAAGCCAAGGGAAACTAATCAAAATTAGAAAACTCTGACATCATCTCTGTACTCCCAAATAGGTTAGCGATTTTAACAAACTGTAAACTTTTAACAGATAAGTTTGGGACACTAGACAATCTTACACAGTGCAGGAAAGGAGAAATACAGATTTCTAAGAGGGAACTTAATCGACACATACAAATTTATACAGTCTCACTCTACCTCTCTCTATATATATCATCTTGCTCCTGAAATTCCACTTTTTTCTTTTTCGTTTTTTAAGACAGAGTCTGGCTCTGTCACCTAGGCTGGAGTGCAATGATGCAATCTTGGCTCATCGCAACCTCCGCCACCCGGGTTCAAAAGATTCTCCTGCCTCAGCCTCACAAGTAGCCGGGATTACAGGTGTCTGCCACCACACCTGGCTAATTTTTTTTTGTATTTTTAGTAGAGACAGGGTTTCACCATGTTGGCCAGGCTGGTCTCAAACTCCTGACCTCGTGATCCACCCACCTCCGCCTCCCAAAGTGCTGGGATTATTACAGGCAGGAGTCACCAAGCCCAGCCCTGAAATTCCACTTCCAAAGAGACACCTAAACCAGTGAGCAAAGATCAGTCGCAACCACATTCATCTAATTGCACAACATAAAAAGACTGAGGGGCTGAGCACGGTGGTTTACGCCTGTAATCCCAGTACTTTGGGAGGCCAAGGCAGGCGGATTGCCTGAGCTTAGGAGTTCGAGACCAGCCTGGGCGACATGGTGAAACCCTATCTCTACCAAAAAAAAAAAAAAGACCAAGGAAGATGGGTATGTGTTGTGTACAAGGGAATTATTTAAGAGACTGTGTCTTATTTTTATTTATTGGAATACATTCTAAAATGTTAACATCTATGGTTTCATTGCACATACACCACTCCCTATAGGAGCTCCCTTTGTACGTTTTCTGACTTATCTTGTTTATTTCACTTTCATCTTTAGGTGTAACCAAAGTTTGTAAAACTCAAGTCCAGGCGCGGCGGCTCACACCTTTAATCCAGCACTTTGGGAGGCCAAGGTGGATGGATCACTTGAGGTTCAGGGGTTCAAGACCAGGCTGACCAACATGGTGAAACCTCGTCTCTACTAAATACAAAAAACTCACCAGGCATGGTGGTACATGCCTATAGTCTCAGCTACTTGAAAGGCTGAGGCAGGAGACTCTCAAGAGGCGGAGGCAGCACTGTACCACTGCACTCCAGCCTGGGCAACAAGAGCAAAACTGTTTCAAAAACAAAACAAAAAAAAAAAAACCTCAAATTCTGTTTACCATAGGTTTAACAACTAAATTTATTCTTTTTTCTTGAGACAGCGTCTCACTCTGCTGCCCAAGCTGGAGTACAGTGGCCTGATCATGGCTCACTGCAGTCTCAATCTCCTGGGCTCAAGCTATCCTCTCACTTCAGCTTCCCAAAGTGCTGGGATTACAGGCATAAGCCACTACATCTGCCTAGTTTACTCTTTTTGCAAATGTAAGTATATAATAAGTAGAAAACAGACTGAAGGGAAACAAATCAAAGTGTTCAACCATAATGTTAAATCTGGAGTTACTGCTTTATAGGGTTTTTGTTTTTCTCCCCATTTCACCACCAAGTCAATCATTAGTTTGGTTATAACCTTGAAGGACAGAGAGCGAGGCTGAGGCCATGGGGTCTACAGCAGGTTATGAGTTGCATAGCCTTCGGCTAGGAGGTTCACCTGAGCTAGTCAAAGTTTTCTCATCAGTAAAATGGGATAGCAGTGCGTCATAAGGTTGCTATGATGAAAAAAGAAAGGTAGGCCACTTAGCACAGTTCTTGGTAAAGGGATATCATTAAATGGAAAGTGAAGTTGGCCAGGTGGAGTGGCTCACGCCTATAATCCCAATACTTTGGGAGGCCGAGGTGAGCGGATCACCTGAGGTCAGAAGTTCAAGACCAGCTCGGCCAACATAAAAAATACAAAAATTAGCCAGGCATGGTGGTGAGTGACTATGGTCCCAACTACTCAGAAGACTGAGGCATGAGACTTGCTTGACCCAGGAGGTGGAGGTTGCAGTAAGCAGAGATTGCACCACTGCACTCCAGTCTAGACGATAGACTGAAACCCTGTCTTGAATTAAAAAAAAACAAACTGAAGGGTTTTTTTTTGGGAGGGGGAGCAAAGGGGGAAAAAGTATTTCAGTGTTCTTTCAGGCCTCAAAATACTAAAGTTTAGTGTTAATTTATTTACAAAAATAAAAAACTTGAAAAATGTTTCAATGTGAAAAAACTTAGAGAGTAAGTTCTATAGAAGAAACAAGTCCCCTGAAATCCTAATATTTGGAGAGGAGCTCTGATCACATTTTTGTGAAAACCTATACATGCTTTTTTTCAGATATCCAATGTACTTAATGTAAAATGGCTGGCACCATTTTATGCATTGTATGCATGCACAAATTTTTTTTTTTTGAGATGGAGTCTCGTTTTGTCGCCCAGGCTGGAGTGCAGTGGCATGATATCGGCTCACTATAACCTCCGCCTCCCGGGTTCAAACAATTCTCTGCCTCAGCCTCCTGAGTAGCTGGGATTACAGGCGCCCACCACCATGCCCGGCTAATTTTTCTATTTTTAGTAGAGACAGGGTTTCACCATCTTGGCCAGGCTGATCTTGAACTCCTAACCTCATGATCTACCCGCCTCAACCTCCCAACACAGTAATATTTTTAGCCATACCAACTGGTATACATCTGTGGTTTTCATGTTTTCTGTAATGATATATAATATGAAATACATATTTGTGACTGATCTTTCCTTAGAACTGTGGGAAAAAAGTAGAATATACAGTACTAAAAACACAGTGACTTAAGGGCTGGGTAAGGTGGCCTGTGCCTGTAATCCCAACACTGGCAGAACGAGATGGGAGGATCGTTTGAGGCCAGGAATTCTAGGTTACAATGAGCTATGATCATGCCACTGCACTGCAATCTGGGTGAGAGCAGAATTTGCCTTAAAAAAAAAAATGACAAAGATAATGCAATATTTCGCACATGTAATTTTCTTTTTTGAGACAGGGTCTTGCTCTGTTGCCCATGCTGCAGTGCAATGGCATGATGACTGCTCATTGCAGCCTTGACCTCCCAGGCTCAAGTGATCCTCCCACCTCAGCCTCCAAAGTAGCTGGGACTACAAGTGTGCACCACCATGCTTGGCTAATTTTTGTATATTTTTGTAGAGACAGGGTTTTGCCATGTTGCCCAAGCTACATGTAATTGTTAAAATGAGGAATGTGCAATGATGACAATTTGTTTTGCACTGAATTATCCTTATAGACATACCATTTTGTGATGGTTTTTCATTTTATTTATAAGCATGGTTGAGAACAGTCAAGAGCAATGATAAAATAATTACCAGGATGCAGCCATGGCCAGTATGATAAAATCCCATCTCTAGAAAAAATTTAAAGGTTAGCTGAGTGTGGTGGTGTGCGCTTGTAGTCCTAGTTACTCAGAAGGCTGAGGCACAGGAATGACTTCCCAGGAGGCACAGCTTGTAGTGAGCCGAGATCATGCCACTGCACTTCACCGTGGGTGGCAGAGCAACACCGGTCTCAAATAGTAATAATTACCAGGATGACAATATCAATAAAATTTTATGATGGAGGAAAAATAAAATCAGTAGGATCTCATAATGTTATCTTAGCTTTACAAAATGACACAATAGATCCATGTGGTAATTTTAAGTAAAGGGATCTAATTTTTTTTTTTTTGGAGAGACAAGGGTATCACTATGTTGCTCAGGCTACTCTCAAACTCCTGGGCTCAGGCAATTCTCAGCCTTCAGAGTACTTGGACTACAGGTACCTACTACTGTACCCAGCTTGTTTTAATTTTTTAGATTTTTCTTTTTCTTCTTTTGAAGACCTCTAAGAAATAAGGAAGTATCAATCTTTACAAATAACTACAAATAACAAATAAGGAAATATCAATCTTTACAAAAAAAGAAAGCAAAAAACTAAAATTGGATCCAATTAGCAGCAATACTATATCAAGGGTTAACATTGCTTTCCTAAAAAGTAACAATGTATACCTAAATAACTCATATTTCCAACAGGGAAAGGAAATATTATTATGTTTTTCTTAAAGGATTTTTTTTTTCTGTCTAAAAGTAACCTTATTTA